TTTCATTCCCCCCTTATGATTATACATGGAGTCATCCCCCCCTTATTATTATTAAAGTCTGTACTTTCTCCATTTCCCCAATGTTCTTTTTGAGAATTTGGAGCCCAAAACAGAAACTGGCATATTCCCGATGAGGGTTCATTACTAATGATTTGTACCGGGGAATGATATCGTCTCGTCTCTGGAGTCTATCAACCTCTCCTAATTACAGTCAAAGGGTGGGGTGGGGACAAGTACCTGGTCGAACTAATTTAACTGAAGTAAGAGAAATGTCAGGTCTCCCCATCTGGGGGTGCGATGTAAATTTCAGAACTGGATGGACAAATAAATAAATTATTTGGCATGTAAAACAGCTCCCTAATGGTTTTTTTTTAGCAATTTATATACCTGTAGCTGTTCAAAAAAAAAAATCATACTCTTTTATGTCCTTATTTTTATATGATTTATTTCCTTTCTTTTATTTATGTTTATGTTATTTATTTTTCTGAATTTCTATTTTATTTCCTTTTATCACTTTTTTTTGTTTTCTTTTGTGTTTCCTTTATTTTTATTTGCTTTTTTTTAACTTTTTGTAGCCAGCCAATCATGTTTAATCATTTTCCACATTTTTCTCCATCAGTCATCATATGCCGCATGGGTTCCCTCCTATAAGAAAGTGGTATTTCGGGAGTATCTAGACAGCAGCTTTAGTGAACCCCGCCTTCCGCGGAGAAAGAGACGGCCCATTTGGGACTTTTAAGGGCCGTGTATCCGGCAGAGGTTAATGATGAAATTATAGTAAGTAAGCTTTCTGTGTCAGGTGACTATATATGCAATCCATGTAATACACATTTCCATCATTTCAAAATCAATCTTTCACTCAACCAGTAAATTATTTGCATTTCCTTGCTAAAAAAAAAAAAAAAAAAATTTGCCTGGAATTGGGGTATAAACTTTTCCCCACCCACAATCTGTGGGTTAGCTCTTCCCTGTAAGAAGCTCTGTGTTGGGGATACTTTATTCTGCAGTACATCCCCCTCTGACAGCTAGCAGGCGAAATTGTGTGCCACTGATAGCTGCCAAATCCAGGTGTCACTGACCGCTCTGGACTCCACTATTAAGAGTGGCTTCCATTGATGTGATAATTATGGCCGCTATGACATAGTGTAGTGAGCGCATGCATGTTGAAGACCTCATTCAGATAAAAATTGGTTTCAGTTTGCAAAGGCCACTGTAGCCTGTAGATGGCACAGCATCTCTCTCTCTCTTTAATATTGTAATTGTCTAATACGTATATGGTATTAGGAGATACCTATTCATTAAGACATGTAAAAAAAAAAAAAGAAGAAGAAAAAAAGATATATTTATATATATACAGGGGCGGACTGACAAATCATGGGGCCCCCCCGGGCAATAGGGGATCATGGGGCCCCTGTGTCCTTGCCCAAACTCAAAAAAAGCCTATGAAAAAGGTACCAGGGGCATCTCATGGGACCCCCTACTGACCCCCGGGCCCTCGGGCAGTGCCCAAGTTTCCAAATGGTCAGTCCGCCCCTGTATGTAAATATATATATATATATATATATATATATATATATATACACAGTTTGCAGAGGCCACTGCTGTCTGTAAATGGCAAAAAAAAATATCTCTTTTATACTGTAATTGTCTTATACGTTCATAGTATTAGGATTTATACAAACTTAATTAAGACATGTAAAAAAAAAAATATATATATATTAACACACAAATATATTATATATATATAATATATATATATATAATACATATATATATATATTTATAAAATGCATTACATTTACTTAATATAATAAATTATATTTATTACCTTCTTAAAACTTTATAAGTATTTTGATTTTTATTTATTAATTATTTATTGTGCTCTCCTTGTGTATATAATATATATATACGTGTGTGTGTATATATCTATATCAGTAGATATATATATATATATCTATAGATAGATATGAAATATATATGGTTTCAGTTTGCAGAGGTCACTGTTGCCTGTAAATGGCAAAAAAATCTCTGTTTAATACTGTAATTGTCTAATACGTATTTATACAATTACAATATGTATACAATTTATTAAGACATGTAAGAAAAACAACACATACACACATATATATATATATTGTAAGCTCCAAGGATCAGGGCCCTCCTATCCCTCTTGTATTGAACCTTTATTGTTACTGTATTGTCTCCCGTTATATTTGTAAAGTGCTGAGCAAACTGTTGGCGCTATATAAATCCTGTAGTATAATAATCATTATATATACTGTGTGTATATATATATAATATATATATATATATGTATATGTATATGTATTATATATATATATATAATATATATATACAGTATATATGTGTATATATATGTATATGTATATATATATATATATATATATATATATATATATATGTGTGTGTGTGTAATATATATATATACCAGTTTGCAAGAAAAAGTATGTGAACCCCTTGGGATTACGTGTAGTTTTTGCATGAATTAGGCATAAAATGTGCTCTGAACGTCATCTAAGTCACAACAATAGAAGAACACAGTCTGCTGAACATAATACTACACAAACATTAGATGTTGCCATGGTTTAATTGCACATAGTAGCATGTAAACATTCACAGTGCAGGGAGGAAAAAAACTAAGTATGTGAGGCCCTAGCTTAATGACTTCTCCCAGAGCTAATTGGAGCCAGGAGTGAGCCAACCTTGACTCCAATCAGTGTGATGATATTGGATGTGTTGCTGACAGCTGTCCTGCCCTTAAAAAACACACACCTGTTTTGGGTTTACTGGTTTCAAGAAGCACTGTCTGATGTGAACATGCCTCGCAGAAAAGAGCTCTCAGAAGACCTACGGTCAAGAATTGTTGACATTGCATGAAGCTGGAAAGCGTTACAAAAGTATCTCCAAAAGCCTTGATGTTCATGTGTCCACGGTAAAACAGACTGTCTACAAATGGAGAAAGTTTAGCACTGTTGCTACTCTCCCTAGGTGTGGTCGTCCTGTAAAAATGACTGCAAGAGCACAGCGCAGAATGCTGCATGAGGTAAAGAAGAATCCCAGAGTGTCAGCTAAAGACCTACAGAAATCTCTGGCACATGCTAACATTTTTGTTGACACATCTACAATAAGGAAAACATTAAACAAGAATGGAGTACATGGGAGGACACCACAGAGGAAGCCATTGCTGTCCAAAAAGAATATTGCAGCCCGTTTGAAGTTTGCAAAAGAGCACCTGGATGTTTCCACAGCACTACTGGCAGAATATACTGTGGACAGATGAAACCAAGATTGAGTTGTTTGGGAAGAACACACAACAATATGTGTGGAGAAAAAAAGGCACAGCACACCAACATCAAAACCTCATCCCCACTGTAAAACATGGCGGAGGGGGGCTAGCATCATGGTTTGGGGCTGCTTTGCTGCCTCAGGGCCTGGAACGGATTGTTGTCATTGATGGGAAAATGAATTCCAGAGTCTATCAAGACATTTTGCAGGAAAATGTACGACCATCTGTCCGCCAACTGAAGCTCCGCAGAGGATGGGTGATGAAAACAGGACAATGACCCAAAGCATACAAGTAATTCAACAAAACAATGGCTGCAACAGCACAGAATACGCCTTCTGGAGTGGCCCAGTCAGAGTCCTGACCTCAACCTGATTGAAATGCTGTGGCATGACCTTAAGAGAGCGATTCACACCAGACATCCCCTGAATATTGCTACACTGAAACAGTTTTGTGAAGAGGAGTGGTCCAAAATGACTCCAGATCGTTGTGCAGGTCTGATCTGCAACTACAGGAAACGTTTGGTTGAGGTTATTGCTGCCAAAGGAGGGTCAACCAGTTATTAAGTCCAAAGGTTCACATACTTTTTCCTCCCTGCGCTGTGAATGTTTACATGTTATGTGCAATTAAAACCATGGCAACATCTAATGTTTGTGTAGTATTATGTTCAGCAGACTGTGTTCTTCTATTGTTGTGACTTAGACGATGTTCAGAGCACATTTTATGCCCAATTCATGCAAAACTCCACGTAATCCCAAGGGGTTCACATACTTTTTCTTGCAACTGTATATATATAAAATAAGCATTTATATTCATAAAATGTATTACATTTGCTAAAATATAATAAATTATATTTATTACCTTTATAATACTTTCTAATTATTTGATTTGTATTCATTATTATTATTATTGTGCTGTCCTTGCATGAAATGACCAGTTTGTCATTACGTGTTGTATCTCCAGATCCAGTTTAAGAACAAGGCGTCCCGGCCCTACTCCTTCTACTCCAATGTTTTAAGCTGTGCAATGGAAGGAGGAAGACAGCGCCCCCCCACAACACACCCCGTACATATACAGGAAAAGTCAGCTCACAGTTTGGACCCACTGGATCTGATGAGTGCCGGACCTGGTTTTATACCTCTAAAGGTCACTTGGTGAGCAATTTAATTTAAATTCTTTTCACTTAAACTTTAGAATAACATAAAATTCCCAGAACAGTTCTAAGCTTCTTGAATGGACTCTTCCTTCCTCTACAAAGGACTTATTATGTGCCATTTGCACCTGAATATGACATATGTCCTGTTAGCAAGGTAGAAGTACAGAGAACCTTTAGGAGAGATGGATGTTAATGTAATTCAAAAGTCATTTTTAATTCTTTTTTTTTAATCTGTAACATTTATTAAAATAAACCTTTGTGATCCTGCCATGTTTAGGCACTTCCTGTGATAGGGTGACAATGCTCCATCCTGCCAATTGCTGTCTCATATTGTCAGCCTTTAACCACTTCATGTCCGGAGCGACTCGACGCTTTCACCCTCCATTCCAGTCCGGACGCTTTCACCCTCTTCCAGTCCGGACACTTTCCCCCCCTTCCAGTCCGGACACTTTCAACCCCCCTCCAGTCCGGACACTTTCACCCTCTTCCAGTCCAGACACTTTCACCCCCCTTCCAGTCCGGACACTTTCACCCTCTTCCAGTCCGGACACTTTCCCCCCTCTTCCAGTCCGGACACTTTCCCCCCCCTTCCAGTCCGGACACTTTCACCCCCTTCCAGTCCGGACACTTTTCCCCCCCCTTCCAGTCCGGACACTTTCACACCCCCCTCCAGTCCGGACGCTTTCACCCCCTTCCAGTCCGGACACTTTCACACCCCTTCCAATCTGGACACTTTCACCCCCTTCTGGTCAGGGGATCCGGACACTTTCACCCCCCTTCCAGTCCGGACGCTTTCACCCCCTTCCAGTCCGGACGCTTTCACCCCCCCTTCCAGTCCGGAACATTTTCCCCCCCCTTCCAGTCCAGACACTTTCACCCCCCTTCCAATCCAGACACTTTCACCCTCTCTCCAGTTCCCGACGCTTTCACCCTCTTCCAGTTCGGACACTTTCACCCCCCCTTCCAGTCCGGACACTTTCCCCCCCCTTCCAGTCCGGACACTTTCACCCTCTTCCAATCCAGACACTTTCACCCTCTTCCAGTCCGGACACTTTCACACCCCTTCCAGTCCGGACACTTTCACACCCCCTTCCAGTCCGGACGCTTTCACCCCCTTCCAGTCCGGACACTTTCCCCCCTTCCAGTCCGGACACTTTCACCTTCAACCCCCTTCCAGTCCGGACACTTTCCCCCCCCCCGTCCAGTCCGGACACTTTTACCCCCTTCCAGTCCGGACGCTTTCCCCCCCCTTCCTCTCCAGGCCAATTTTTCAGCTTTCATCGCTGTCACACTTTTGAATGACAATTTCGCGGTCATGCAACACTGTACCCATATGAATTTTTCAGCATTTTTTTGAGACAGATAAAGCTTTATTTTGGTGGTATTTATTCACCACTGGGATTTTTTATTTATTTTGCTATATAAATTAAAATGTCCAAAAATTTTGGAAAAAAGTGTTTTTCTTATAAAAATTTTTGCAAATAATCTTTCTTCATAAATCTTGGCCAAAATTTATTCAGTTATATCTTTTTTAGTAAAATAAAATAACCCAAATTAGTTCTAACCAAAAATTATAATTTTTTACATAAAAATTTTTTTTTCATTTATATTTTATTTTTTTTATATTATTTTTTTTTTTTTTAACCCCTTCACACCTAAGGGTAAAACAAATTTAAATGCCTAAGCACAATTTTGCAACGTTGACCTGTGTTAGTAAAACCGTCCATATCATCACAACTACTTTGTACATCCAGGTGAATTATACCGCATTTTTTTCAGGAAAAATTGGGCTTCATTTGGTGGTAAATGGTAATGGATATCTCCTGATTTTTTTTATTATCAAAGGAAAAACTGGCCCAAAATAGTAAAAAAAAAAATAATAATTTTTTTTTATTTAGCTGTGTGTTTCTTGTTACTAACCCATAACCTACCACCAAAGAACAACCCAAAATAAATTTTCCAGCTATTGATGATCGCAGCGATACCATATATGTGGATGTTATTTGTTTGTACCCGGAGTACAGTCCAGAAACAATAGTGTGTATTTAGTTTTTGTCTTTTTTTTTTTTTTTTACTAAAACACACTGACATTAATACTACCTGACAACTGATACCAATGGTTTTTTTTAAATCCTGACCTTTGACCTTGACCGAAACAATAACCCTGGCACTGAAACTAGATCAAACCTTGATCTAGGTATTTTTTTCTTTATTTTTTATTTTTATTTTTTTAATATTTATTTATCTTCTTTTTTTTTTTTTTTTTTTTTTTTACAAACATTTTTTTTTTACTCTCTATGCCAGGAGTTAGAGATGCAATGTATCTCTCTCCTCCATTCATAGAGAAAAAAAAAACCAAGGGGGCCGGGCTGCACAGTGACTGATCACTGTGGGTCAGGAATGGACTAGCCAGCAATGGTCGGACTCACCTGCCTTTTGATCTGCAGTACCAGGGCTGGCCAGCGGGTGCTTCCCAGCAATCAGAGACTCAACTTTGCAGCCAGCTAACACCTGGAACTGATTATGCTGGGGTATTTTAAGGGATGGCCAGACTTGCAGACTCTGCCTTGGTGTTGTGTTCTCTTGGGCCCTGTATCCTGTTCCTGCTCTCTGTTCCTGTCTGATTCTCTGCTGACCCTGCTCTGATATCCCCTGGCTTGTCTGACCATCCCTCTGCCTGACCCTCTGTACTACGCTGCTTGCTACCTGTTCTGATCCCTGGCTTGTGACCCTGACCATCCCTCCGCGCTTACCCTCTGTACTACGCTGCTTGCTACCTGCTGAACCTGGCCTGTGACCCCGACCCATCTCCGCTTGCTCCCCCTGTACCTACCTGCCCTATTGATATTGACCCGGCCTGCCTGACGACGCTTGCTTGTATGTACTGTTATCTGTGGGTGGTTGGTTTGGTTTGGTTTGGTTTGGTTGCACTGTATTATGTTTTTAGTATTGCACTGCGTTTGCGTGTTTTATGTATTTGTTAGTGTTAATAAATTATATTGTTTATAACATATCTGAGGTCTGCGTTTCCCTGCGTCAGCCACACACCTCTGGTTACACCTGGGAGCCCTGACATTACACCAAGGCCAATCCTGACCAGAAGTGGCTGCACAGGGAAGCCATCTTGGCTTGTTGATGGGAAAGGATGGATCTGGATGAGGTTGTGTATTTATCTCTGCTAGTGTTTGATGACAGGGAGTATGCTTATCAAACTCTGAAGGAGTATCCCCGGGATGAACTGCTAGAATGTATACGGCTCGCTCATGTTCTAGTAGATCAGGGCACAGAGTTCTCTATGGTGCAGCCATTGATTGAGGGTTTGTGCAGAGTTGGTTTCATCTGGTTCCCCCGAATGCAGGATGAATTTTTTGCCACCATTTTAGTGCAGACCAGGTAGAGTCCCTGGTGTGGTTATTAGAGGATGATGTGGGTTACTTTCTGGAGCGTTATTCCACATGTTCACCACAGACACTGAGAGATTTGTATAAACGCAGTGCAGTCATTGACCAGACAGGCTTTGTGTAAGCTCAGCTTTGTTCAACCCATACTGCAGACATGGACAGATTTGTTACACCCAGCCTCAGTCAGCTTACAAAGACCCAGTCCTGCTTCTAACTCTACTCCTGTATTCCCACCAGCTCCTCCAGTTACAGCCCAGTATACTTGGCTATCTACCGCATGTCAGTACCCTGTTCCCACTCGCTGCACCTATCCTGCCTTTAACCCTGTAAAAAAGCCCTCTGTAGCAACTGCTCCCTCTCCTGTTCCATCCTCCAGTTCTTCTCTGTCTCCAGCTGCTCCATCCATTTGCAGACCTGCGTTTACTTGCAGTGCTCCAGTAGTTAAAACCAGAAAAAAGCGAAAATTCTTTCCAACCAATACCATCCTGCCAGTATCCAAACTGTGAACCTGCTTCCGTGACTCAGCCTGAAGCCTCTACTCAGCCTGAATCCTCTACTCAGCCTGAAGCCTCTACTCAGCCGGAAGCCTCTACTCAGCCGGAAGCCTCTACTACTCAGCCGGAAGCCTCTACTCAGCCGATGCCTCTACTCAGCCAGAAGCCTCTACTCAGCCGGATGCCTCTACTCAGCCGGATGCCTCTACTCAGCCGGATGCCTCTACTCACCGGATGCCTCTACTCAGCCTGAAGCCTCTCCTCAGCCTGAAGCCTCTCCTCAGCCGGAAAGCCTCTCTTCAGCCGAAAGCCTCTCTTCAGCCGGAAGCCTCTCTTCAGCCGGAAGCCTCTCTTCAGCCGGAAGCCTCTCTTCACCGGATGCCTCTCTTCAGCCGGATGCCTCTACTCTTCACCCCGGATGCCTCTCTTCAGCCGATGCCTCTCTTCAGCCGGATGCCCGCTCTCAGCCGGATGCCTCTCTTCAGCCGGATGCCTCTTCTTCAGCCTGAAGCCTCTCCTCAGCCTGAAGCCTCTCCTCAGCCTGAAGCCTCTCCTCAGCCTGATGAACTTATCCAGCCCGACGATCCTATTAGGCCAGTTGACTCGATGCCCGCTGTTGATCCAGATGATCCGGTCGGTACCTGATCCAGTGCCCGCTGTCGTGCCAATTGACTCAGACCCCGCTGTCATACCTGGTGACCCCGTGCCCACTGCCTTGCCAGATGACGCGGTGCCCGCTGGCAAGCCAAATGACCTGATGCCTGGTGACCCAGTGCCCGCTGTCATAACCTGGTGACCCGATGCCCGCTGTCGAGCCAGACAATCCGATACCTGATGACTCGGAGCCCACTGTCTTGCCAGACGACTCGGTGCCCGCAGTCTTGCCAGACGACTCGATGCCCGCAGTCTTGCCAGACGACTCGATGCCCGCAGTCTTGCCAGACGACTCGATGCCCGCAGTCTTGCCAGACGACTCGATGCCCGCAGTCTTGCCAGACGACTCGGTGCCCGCAGAGTCTTGCCAGACGACTCGGTGCCCGCAGTCTTGCCAGACGACTCGGTGCCCGCAGTCTTGCCAGACGACTCGGTGCCCGCAGTCTTGCCAGACGACTCGGTGCCCGCTGTTCCGCCAGTTGACTCGGTGCCCGCAGTATTGCCAGACGACTCGGTGCCCGCTGTTCCGCCAGTGGACTCGATGCCTCCCGCAGTCTTGCCAGACGACTCGGTGCCCGCAGCAGTCTTGCCAGACGACTCGGTGCCCGCATCTTGCCAGACGACTCGGTGCCCGCAGTCTTGCCAGACGACTCGGTGCCCGCAGTCTTGCCAGACGACTCGGTGCCCGCAGTCTTGCCAGACGACTCGGTGCCCGCTGTTCCGCCAGTTGACTCGGTGCCCGCAGTCTTGCCAGACGACTCGGTGCCCGCTGTTTCCGCCAGTTGACTCGATGCCCGCAGTCTTGCCTGACGACTCGGTGCCCGCAGTTTCCGCCAGTTGACTCGATGCCCGCTGTTCCGCCAGTTGACTCGGTGCCCCGCAGTCTTGCCAGACGACTCGGTGCCCACTGTCGTGCCTGGTGACTCGGTGCCCGCCGCTGTCGCCTGGGGGCCCGAGACCTGTTGCTCCGCCTGAGGGCCCGAGACCTGTCGCTCCATCTGGGGGTCCGGCGCCCGCCGCTCCGCCAGAGGGCCCGAGACCTGTCCGCTCCGCCTGAGGGCCTGAGACCTGTCGCTCCATCTGGGGGTCCGGCGCCCGCCGCTCCGCCTGAGGGCCCGAGACCTGTCGCTCCATCTGGGGGTCCGGGCACCCGCCGCTCCGCCTGGGGCCCGAGACCTGTCGCTCCCGCCTGGGGGCCCGAGACCTGTCGCTCCACCTGGGGGTCCGGCGCCCGCCGCTCCGCCTGAGGGCCCGAGACCTGTCGCTCCACCTGGGGGTCTCCGGCGCCCGCCGCTCCGCCTGAGGGCCCGAGACCTGTCGCTACTCCGCCTGGGGGCCCGAGACCTGTCGCTCCATCTGGGGGTCCGGCGCCCGCCTCTCCGCCTGAGGGGCCCGAGACCTGTCGCTCCATCTGGGGGTCCGGCGCCCGCATCGCTCCGCCTGAGGACCCGAGACCTGTCGCTCCATCTGGGGGTCCGCGCCCCGCCGCTCCGCCTGAGGGCCCGAGACCTGTCGCCCCGCCTGGGGGCCCGATGCCTGTCGCCCCGCCTGGGGGCCCGATGCCTGTCGCCCCGCCCTGGGGCCCGAGACCTGTCGCCCCCCGCCCGGGGGGGCCGGTGCCTGTCGCCCCGCCCGGGGGCCCGGTGCCTCGCTGCCGCCCCGCCCGGGGGCCCGGTGCCTGCCGCCCCGCCCGGGGCCCGGTGCCTGTCCTCCCCGCCCGGGGGCCCGGTGCCTGCCGCCCCGCCCGGGGGCCGGTGCCTGCCGCCCCGCCCGGGGGCCCGGTGCCTGCCGCCCCGCCCGGGGGCCCGGTGCCTGCCGCTTCGCCTGGTAATCCCATGTGCCTCTGCCCGGAGTCCTGCCCGATGTGCCTCTGCCCGGAGTCCTGCCCGATGTGCCTCTGCCCGGAGTCCTGCCCGATGTGCCTCTGCCCGGAGTCCTGCCCGATGTGCCTCTGCCCGAGTCCTGCCCGATGTGCCTCTGCCCGGAGTCCAGCCCGATGTGCCTCTGCCCGGAGTCCGGCCCGTGTGCCTCTGCCCGGAGTCCGGCCGGTGTGCCTCTGCCCGGAAGTCCGCCCGGTGTGCCTCTGCCCGGAGTCCGGCCCGATGTGCCTCTGCCCGGAGTCCGGCCCGATGTGCCTCTGCCCGGAGTCCTGCCCGATGTGCCCTCTGCCCGGAGTCCTGCCCGGTGTGCCTTTGCCCAATGTGCCCCTGCTCGGTGTGCCGCTGCCCGGAGTCCTGCCCGTGTGTGCCAGTCTTTGATATCCCGCCAGTTTTACCAGACCCGGGCGGTGGAACATTTTGCCCAGCTAGGACTGTTTGGGAGCGTCCTGAGTCCGCTCCTTGAGGGGGGGGGTACTGTCAGGAATGGACTACCAGCAATGGTGGGACTCACCTGCCTTTTGATCTGCAGTACCAGGGCTGGCCAGCGGGTGCTCCCAGCAATCAGAGACTCAACTTTGCAGCCAGCTAACACCTGGAACTGATTATGCTGGGGTATTTAAGGGATGGCCAGACTTGCAGACTCTGCCTTGGTGTTGTGTTCTCTTGGGCCCTGTATCCTGTTCCTGCTCTCTGTTCCTGTCTGATTCTCTGCTGACCCTGCTCTGATCCCTGGCTTGTCTGACCATCCCTCTGCCTGACCCTCTGTACTACGCTGCTTGCTACCTGTTCTGATCCCTGGCTTGTGACCCTGACCATCCCTCCACCTTACCCTCTGTACTACGCTGCTTGCTACCTGCTGAACCTGGCCTGTGACCCCGACCCATCTCCGCTTGCTCCCCCTGTACCTACCTGCCCTATTGATATTGACCCGGCCTGCCTGACGACGCTTGCTTGTATGTACTGTTATCTGTGGGTGGTTGGTTTGGTTTGGTTGCACTGTATTATGTTTTAGTATTGCACTGCGTTTATGTTTGTATTGTTAGTGTTAATAAATTATATTGTTTTTATAACATATCTGAGGTCTGCGTTTCCCTGCGTCAGCCACACACCTCTGGTCACACCTGGGAGCCCTGACACTGTGATAGCCAATCAGAGGCTATCACAGCGATCATGTGACCCGGAATCGGGAGTTCCGGGTCCCAATCGTTAGAACGGGACCCGGGGCTCTCAGTGACACTGTGATCTTTGTGCTGGGTGTGCGCAGTGCGGCGTGCTCCCAGCACAAAGACAGGTACGCAAATATGCGGCCCCATGGAAAAAGCCCAGTTCTGTGAGGCCGCATATTTGTGTGACGTCGGCGTCAAGGGTTTAACATACTGTCATCCTATCAGTACAGTGGCACCATAGTGACACTGTACTACTTGTGGGGGGGTGAAGATTTTTTTTTTTTTACACAGATTTCTTTTATACCCATAAAGACTGTAATAGCAATCATTTCTCCTCTCTGGCTGCATTCTTGCAGCCATTGAGAAATACTGTGAGAGCTGTGATTGGTCACAGCTTGTCACATGGTACAGGGCTGTTGTGAATGGCCCTGTACTATGTGATCTCTGTGATCATTCACAGATTTCACATGTAGTAAGCAATGATGTCACAAGTGACATCTTGCTTACACATTTTCATGTGATCACTGATTGGCCAATCAGTGATCACATGATCAGAACCTCACACAGAGGTCCCGTACAGCGGTCGGTGTTCCACCGGATCGCGGTGCCCTTATATTTATTTTTTCAAATCGCACACTCCCAGGGAGCGTGCACAGTCCAAAAGGGCGGGCGCTGTTTATGAACCTCAACCTGCCCCTGGACTGCCACCATCTGGCCATTTATATACAGCAGCCGGATGGAAAGTTTAAGGAGACTACAAGTGACCATTTCCACACACATTGCACAGGCACGGTCCATTGTTGTCACCATCAGGAAACTCACCCTGAGAAATGCCATGCAGCCTTTACTGGAGTGCATATATAAAAGAAATGGCTGTAAAAGGCTGCAGGAGATCAGTAGCAATGAGAGGTAACAAAGACTATTATTCCAAATTTATATTTATCTTTATAAATAAAGAAGTGCGTTTCAAAAATAACTGCCATTTATTTTAAAATGGCAGTTGTTTATGATGCACACTTCTTTAGTTAAAGTGTTGCTAAGCCCTCAATAGTACAATCAGTCTGTATATACAATAAAGCATGCTTGTTATACTCACTGTAGAATTGAAGGGGTTAATCCTCCACATTGTGTAAAAAGGCTGCTTGATCCTGTCTTCTCTGATCTTCCCTTTCCTCTTCAGTCCCCAATCCATCTTCTGATAGAACAGAGCTTTGGGGGCCAGCTGCACATGCTCAGTTTGATGTGTATTGCTAGAGATATTTTTATTCTTGGGTTAGTGTATGTGATCAGCGTAGAGCCAATCAGCACTGTCCAGACAGAGGGTCAGGGGTCCTGCAGCCTCATAAGACAGTCAGGGGAGAATGAAAATTCCTCCTACAAGCTGTAACCAGTGGATATAGTGAATGCAGGGTCCGGGTAGAGCGGATATAGTGAATGCGGGGTCCGGGGAGAGCGGATATAGTGAATGCGGGGTCCGGGGAGAGCGGATATAGTGAATGCGGGGTCCGGGGAGACTGGATATAGTGAATGCAGGGTCCGCGGAGACTGGATATAGTGAATGCAGGGTCCGGGGAGAGCAGATATAGTGAATGCAGGGTCCGGGGAGAGACGGATATAGTGAATGCAAAGTCCGGGGAGAGCGGTTATAGTGAATGCAGGGTCCGGGGAGAGCGGATATAGTGAATGCGGGGTCCGGGGAGACTGGATATTGTGAATGTGGGGTCCGGGGAGACTGGATATAGTGAATGCGGGGTCTGGGGAGAGCTGATATAGTGAATGCGGGGTCCGGAGAGACCAGATATAGTGAATGCAAAACTCCGGGGGAGAGCGGATATAGTGAATGCGGGGTCCGGGGAGAGCGGATATAGTGAATGCAGGGTCTGGAGAGACCAGATATAGTGAATGCAGCCTCTGGGGAGAGCAGATATAGTGAATGCGGGGTTCGGGGAGAGTGGATATAGTGAATGCAGGGTCCGGGAGAGCGGATATAGTGAATGCGGGGTCCAGGGAGAGCGGATATAGTGAATGCAGGGTCCGGGAGAGTGGATATAGTGAATGCAGGGTCCGGGGAGAGCGGATATAGCGAATGCAGGGTCCGGGGAGAGTGGATATAGCGAATGCAGGGTCCAGGGGAGAGCGGATATAGTGAATGCGGGGTCCGGGGAGAGCGGATACAGTGAATGCGGGGTCCGGGGAGAGCGGATATAGTGAATGCGGGTCCAGGGAGAGCAGATATAGCGAATGCAGGGTCCGGGAAGAACAGATATAGTGAATGCAGGGTCCGGGGAGAGCGGATATAGCAAATGCAGGGTCCGGGGAGACTGGATATAGTGAATGCAGGCTCTGGGGAGAGCGGATATAGTGAATGCAGGCTCTGGGGAGAGCGGATATAG